GATATGATGAAATACATCAATTTATTTACATGATTTGCAGGTCTTTGAAATTTGGGAAATAATTTTTGTTCCATGTTTCATACATGGTCTGTTTAAAACGTATGTAACTTTAGAACCAAAAATGGTACAGAAAAAAGGTAAGCAGTTTCATAAACTAGAGTACATATGCTATCTGTTGAATACATTTTTGTATCAGATGCATTAACTTGAATTTTTGGCCTTGCTGTATACTTCTGCTTGACCGGGCCCAGTATCGATATCACGGGCTGCTGTATCGATATATCGCCAAGAGTCAGTTTTGGTATATTTTGCTAAATTATTTTGTGTAATAGCTACAATTGTGTTGACATTTTCACAATTTTGATGAGTGAAGTGGGTGTTTGTCATATTAACTTTGCACACACTTAGAGGACTTAGTATTGCAGCTATGATTTTTCACTGAACCGTATTGAATCGATTTAAAATACAGTACCGTATTTTTTGGACTATAAGTCGTTCCGGAGTATAAATTGCACCAGCCAAAAAATGCGCAATGAAGAAGAAAAAACATATATAAGCTGCACCAGACTATAAGTCACACTTTTTGGGGAAATGTATTTTGTAAAATCAGAGACCAGGAACTGACATTTCATTTTGAAAGGCAAGTTATAGTAATAATAACAGAACAGAGAACAACAGACTGAATAGGCGTTAATATGTTAACGTAACATATTAACAGTTATTCAGATAATTATAGCATAAACCACAAAAGATAAGTTTACCAAACTCACGAATTCACTCCAAATCACTAAATCTATTGAGTTCTTCATCCTCTGTGCGCAACCTCCAGCGATAAACTATAGATCCAACCGTTCTGAATCCCGACAGGATGGTTTTGGTTGTCATTGAAGTTCAGGCTTTGTGGATTCATCCAGTGACTTCCAGGTGCACCCTCCCAGTTCCCATGAAGCTGTGTTCTCCATCCTGGTTTTCCGCCAGTCCCTCACAAGTTTCTCGCTCACTCCAAACTTTGTTTCTGCTGCTCGATTACCATTTTCAGCTGAATATTTCACTATTTGCAGCAGGATAGCGGCTATTTCTACAGAAGACATGTACAGTAGAATGCGAAGTGACAGTGATACAGGAGTAATAGTAGTACTAGATACTGACACACAAGCCTAGAGCGCCGTCTCGCGGCTGTCAGTCTGAAAATTTTAATAAATAAGTCGCACTGGAGTATAAGTCCCAGGACCACCCAAACCATGAAAAAAGTGTGACATATAGTCCGAAAAATATGGTATATCATATTGAAACGCATTGAATCAAAAGTGCACTGAAAAACATATTGTATCGATGTATGTATTGCATCTGCAATTTCTGAATGATTCCCAGCCCTAGACATCGCACTTTCACTTCAGTCCAAGGCTCAAATACACTGGAAAAATCATGTACAGGGTTTTTAATGATGAGCACAACACAACAACATTAGCGGCTCAGTGGTCTATTTGAGTATTATTACAGTTCATTAGTGTGAGTACGAAGCTAAAACAAGTACAACTGACCTTTAGACAAGTCTCCATAACATTCTAATCTGAGGCCATTCCTGCATGCTTAGATCTATACAGGGTTATGAAAAACAGCAGCAAGCTTACACAGAAATGAAGTGAGAGCATGTGATCTCCGCGGTCGAACTTTGTTGATGAGGAGACCTTGGTGCCGTGTGCAGAGGGCAGAGCAGCGGGGAGTGGGTATAATTGCGCTGGAATTGGTCTCCCATGGCAATGATACTCTGTTCAATCTAACGCCGTGCTCTGATTGGCTCGTCGGATCCCTCTTGTTCCCTGCCCTCAAAGAAGGCCCCGTCTATTAGGTGGCCTACCATCCACTTTTTGATAGAAGACATTATTCTTGCCTTAAGGGATAACAAGATGTTTTTTATCTGGCAGACACAAAGCAGACCTGGGCTTTAGAGATGGTCTGCTGCGGTCAGGAGGCCAACAGGGGCAATCAGAAATCACTTAAAGGGGCGGTGTGAGCATCAGTCAAAAACATGTTACTGGAATATTTAAAACTTAAAGGAACTGTATATAGCCTGGGCTCTTACCGCTTTAAAAAACTGTACTCTTATCACAACTGAACCTGGGTTGCCAGTGTCTAAACCTGCAGATAAATAATATATAGACGTTTTTCTCATTCTCAGCATATGGACATCAGCACACACATTGATTAATGATTGACTACAAGTTCTGGGATTTCAGGTAATAAGGATTGTAACTGACTTGCCATTTGTAATTGAGTCTGATTCAGCCTTTAGTTTACTTTTGAGTTTATTGTATATTTTACTTTAACTCTTGTATTACACTATGTTCTCTGTTTGCCTATTAAATAAAAGTGCCACCTAATAATTACCTGTGGCGACCTGAGTTGTTTACTTCCTCTCATCCCTCGGAACGGTTTGTAACAAGAACTCAGATCAGACAAAGTTCTTTTAGGTTTAAAATAACTGGATTTCAGCACTGAAACTGGCAACCCAAATGAAAGACTCATGTGAGGCTCATTGTACTTTCTGACTGGATAAAAAAACTACAAATTCTAACATTAACAACTTGGCCATCATATCTAGTGTTTCTGTAATTATAAATAAATCAACATTACAGTTGTTATTATTAAAAGCTAAATTTGATTTGAACATGTTTATCTCATTTTCTTTATGACGTCAAACTCAGGCCCGGGGGCCATATTTGGCTCGCGAGATCATATCAAATATGTATTAGAGTTGCCTGCCGGCTATAGAAACATTATTTATTTAAAATGTTCAAATATTTAAGCAAACTATTATTAAACATTCATTTTAATAAGAAAAGTTTTAACATTATATATCTCAAAAAAAGAGAAAACATGCAGATATTGTTGAAATTTTCAATAAATATTTAGTTTGGCCCACGACTTAGTCCAAGTTTTTAATTTTGGCCCTCTGTGAATTTGAATTTGACACTCCTGCTTTATGAGATTAACATACATACAGTTAAAGATGCTGTACCAGGTTTTTACTGTTGTAAAACTGTGAAAAAGAAAAAAAATGTAGTTCAATTGTTGCAATGATCTATTGTTTTTTTTGTTTTTTTTGTAATTATAAGCAAAGTTTATCAATGGGTTTCAGAATGATGAAAATCTAGAAAAGTTGCTGGTTTAAGTGCCATCTCGCACTATAAGGACCTCAGGGGCCGGCCTCCTGCTGGTGTCCAGAGTCAGGACTAAACATAGGGAGTCAGCGTTTCAGGTTCATGCAGGTGCATCCAGGCTCAAAACGGTTCTGTTTAGCTGCATATGACTGAAAGGTTTTCATTCTGCAGTCTTGTCTCTCATTTAATCTCTCTTTCTTTTTAATTTTATTATGATTATTTATGTTTTGATTTGTTTGTATTGTGACTTTAATGTATTTCTTATTCTGTAAAACACTTTGAATTACTTTGGGTATGAATTGTGCTGTATAAATAAACTTGCCTTGCCTTGCTTGAAAACATCTCTTAAAATAGAAGGAGTGTTGCAAATAACAGGAAGCTGAAACCAACGAATAGATGCTTTTCACAACTTTCAGAGACCGGAACAGACTTTTGCGGTCAAGAGTGTTACAGCTCCTTTAAAACTAAATGTACAAATGTCAAAAACACTAAGGGATGTTATTGTGAAGAACTTTTTGTTTTTGTTTGTTTCAACTGATCTCAGAACAGTGATTAAAAGTGTGCACTTCTGCTTTTAGCTGTGGACAAGAAATGTACAATCTTGTGCAATGAAATTAAAGGTCTGTGTGCTGTTGTCTCACTGTTGTCTCTAGATCTGAGTAAGAAATGTCCTACTCTGATCTAGATTTTACTGTTAACAATTCACAGAGACCAGAGGAAGAGTGTGTGTGGAGGAAAAGTATTACTATGGCATACATCGATCATTGTTATTCCATTTTTCCCATTCTAAACCTCAATATTAGCATGAGTCTAAAATGGCTTACTGACAGAAACACGTCTGTTGACTTGTTCAAAACTTCAGAGCTGATAAGCCCCGCCTCATCATTGTGGCCTTTCATTGCATCAGTCAGCACATTTCCATTTTATGTGTATGACACAGAGTCTGAAATGTTTGAATGATCCAAAATACAGAGCAGTGGGTGGAGACGGGGAATTTTCTGAGCACTTGAGCCTCGAATGCAAGGCAGTCCCATTGTAATTTCTTCTGCTCTCATGCAGTGTATATTTCTAATTTTTAAATGTTTTGTTTTAAAATAAAATGTATAATCATATTGTGTTCTCTTTTTTCAATTATTACATCAATATTTTGGTATTCTTCAAATGTTTTATAAACACTAATGATTGAGGTTGGTAATAATCTGTTACATTTACTCAGGAAACTTTGAAAAAAAGCTGTACCTGATATTTGTCATCTATTAATTGTTTTCCCCGAGTGCAGATATTGTAAAAGCAGCTGCAAGGGTCAAAATGACTGTTCTTTTGCATTTTTATCATTTATAATTTTTCTGCAAACCAGAAGTGTGTGGTTAGTGTGCTATTAAAATAAATTGTACAGATTCATCAAAATTCCAGCCTATTTTGTTTATTCACTTTTTAAAAACAATAAAAACACTACATCTTTAACAAACATGTACTACTAAATGTAGTTTTCAGACTTTTCAGAAAATATAATACAGAAAATATAACTGTCAGTGTAAATAAATATGTTTTATGTTAAGTAACTAAGATAAGACAAGAAGACTAATACGATCTAAGTTCATTACACTAATTCAGTTCTCTTCATTTAATCACACAATATAAGTTGAGATATGTTATAACATTTCAGTAACTTAACTTATTAGCTTTGTGGAAACTGATTACATAGTAAGTTTTAAGTTTACTGAACTTATTCGGGTTTACAGTCACAAGTACTCTCCCTTTGACTTCATATCAAACCGAACATCTTGGTTAGAAAAAGAGAAGTTGTTTTTTAACACTTACTTAAAGCAGAAGCTCACCCACATTAAAATAGTCTTTATATACATGTGAACCTGAGTCAACCTCACTCTAATTTTTCTACTTGGCGTTTTAAAAGTTTTTTCAGTGAGAAGTGGATGTGTGAAAATGGAAACACATGGGTTCCTTGTGCTACTGCTGTGTTCTGGTAAGTTTTGATTTAAAAATGTTTTAAACGCTATTAAAAGGATTGTTCAAATGTCTTCTTTATTGGTGGTATGTTTCAGGGGCTTTAGGATGTAAATATCCTAGAAATTTGAACATCTCTGTACCAAACCTGGAGGCTCTGAGTGGATCCTGTTTGCTGACCCCCTGCACATTCAGTATTGCTGTTCAACATAAAGACAAAGTAGACCTGACTAAACCTGTTGTAGCCATTTGGAGCAAGACACATCCCAACTTAGGCAAACCTGGAGATCCAATATTTTTTCACAGTGATAGGCCCACCCTCTCATCTCCTATGGCAATGATTGGAGACCTGCATCAGAAAAACTGCACCACTCTGTTCTCTGATATAAACACAAGTCATTCTGACAAGTATTACCTCAGAATACAAAACCACAAGTTTATAACGACTGCACTTTGTGATCCACTTAATATAACGGTCCAAGGTAAGATATATTCTTTTATTTCATGTATTTCATAGATGAACAAGGTTTGTACCTATGTAGACAAAACAATGACTATAATCTCCTTTTATATAGTATTGTTGTTTGACATTTGTATAAAACAGAAGCTTCTGCAGGATTTGTCTCATTATTGACCAGTGGATAGGTTTTTATCACATTGTGGGTTTGACATGTGTGGACCGGAGATAGGACCAGATCTGGTGCTACAAGATCTCGCAAGACAAATATGCCACAAGATTGTATAAATGTGCAATAACTTCCCTCAGAATTTACAAAAAAAGAAAAAAAAAAAAAGTCAGAAGCTGTAGTTCCATAAATTAATACTACAATGACCACTAAAGTAGACTATTACATAAAATGAATCATAATAGTGAAGCCACAGTTGTGAACTGAATCGCACTATTTATTTATTATAAATGATGTAAAAATCTTGTCTGTTTTTTCAATTGATTTGACAAACAATTGAAAAGTAGATTGTAGTATTTGATATAAAATATTTATGCGGTGAAATTCTTTCCCGTTTGATTTTTCCTCACAAAGTTTGATTTATTTTTTTTGTGTGTGCATGTGTGCGTGTGGTCCAGTAGAGTATCAAGTGTAACTATTAAATGTTTGTATTGTTGTGCAGAGTCTCCATGGACCCCGTCAGTGCAGGTGTCATGGTCACAGAGGGAGCAGGAGACAGTGACTATAACCTGCTCTGCTCCCTCTCCCTGTCCTGAAGCTCCTCCTAAACTCACATGGAGCCTCCAACCAGAGCCTCCACACACACTCCAAAACTCTAATGGCACCTTCACCACCTCAGAACAACACATGGTCCAAAACTCTGATGGGACCTTCACCACTTCAGTACAACTCCAGATGAGATTATCTGAGCAGCACCAAGGACTGAAGGTGCACTGTTCTGCTGTGTATCCTGTGAAGAGAGGACAGAAGAGTGCAGACGAGACCATCTCTCTGAGTGTGGAGTGTAAGTGTTCAGCCTCACTGAGTTTTGGAAATGTCTCTGATAATGTCCAGTTTGTACATGATGTTTCGTGTCAACAATTTTAAGACAATTATATATTATATATTATATATAGGGATTATATATTGGGAAATTGCACTATGAAAAACAGGCCATATTAGTTATGTAGTTTTGAACAGGAAGCCAAAGGTCCTGTTTCTTTAATAGTTGTTTTAGGTCAGTGTTAAGGTTTACAAAGAACAAAATGTAAAACAGGAGTTTCCAACCTTTAGAAAAATGAAAATACCAGAAAACTACTAATGTTAACGTTTACAAGAAATTTAGTAAATATAAAAGACACAGTTGAATGTCTATAAAATATAAACCATTATCCATTTATTTGTGTGCAAAGTCAGACAGCAAACTGATATGTTTGATTAAATAACATTTTAAATATTATTCAGCCAATACTTATACATAAATCTCCTGGTGAGTTACTTAGAAGAAGGGGGAGAGCTACTGGTAGCTCTAGAGCTACAGCCTGGAGACCCCTGATGTTGAACAATGCTCTGTGTATAAGCTTTGTTATAGTTTATTATAATCAAATCATGTCACTATTAAGAGTGTTTGCCTGTAGTGATACTGAAAATCACTATAATAGTTCCAGCACAAGTCATCCACAAACATCTATCATGTGTGTCTCCTCAGATTCTCCTAAAAACACGTCTGTGTGGCTCAGCACGAACACTTTTCCTCTATCTGTGGGAGGGTCTGTGAATCTGAGCTGCTCCAGCAGAGCCTGGCCTCCAGTCCAGAGCTTCAGCTGGTTCAGGCTCACCTCACAGGGTCCACAAAGAGTTCATGAAGGAAACGTCTACAGCCTCATCTTCAACCATACAACCCAAGGAGAATACTTCTGTCAAGCCAAGAATCAAGTCGGGGAACAAAACTCTCCAACCATCAACCTGCAGAGTGAAGGTACGCCATGTCATTTCAGATTATTTATACTGCTGAAAATCTAATCCACAAGCCTACGCCACACATGCTCCTGGACGACAATTGTCTATAAATATACAAAAGCATGTAGTTTCATGAGCTTAATGATTGTGTTGTGATAGCGGACTGAAGGGGGAGTGACTTAGAACAGGGAGCAAAGGGAGGGGTACTCAGAGCATCAAAAACAAATATGAAACTTATTCATCATTTTAATATCCTATTTTCAGCAAAACAATAAATGGTAACATAGCGATTTAAATAATGTGTTACATAAGACAGTACAATGTACTTAATATAGTATAACACATTATAATTATGTTGTGTTGTCTATTGCATATCCTCTGTAATGACGGTGCTAATTTAGTAAAGTTGCAAAGTAACTCAAAAAGTACCTGTACTCAGAAGTATCAGAAAGCAAATTTATAGTTTGGATTGAAAAAAAAAAAAAACATTTCAAGAAACCCTGCTCGAGCAGAGAGACTCAGAAAGTCTGTGTCCAGGGTGAGGAGGCTCAGCTGTGTCAAATGTCTTGCTTTTAAACAACTGCATTTGAACTTTCAGATGTTAACGTCAGGATTGGGCCTTACATCATACTGAAGATATGTGGGGTTGTTGTGCTCTTCAGTGCTCTGCTCCTCATTGAGTGGTGAGACTCTTTTCCATCTTTGTTAAAGCATTTCTTCAGGTGACACGTGATAATGATAAAGTTAATATTATTTATGTTACAGTTTGGCAAAGAAAAGAGTGACCCAGAGCCAACAGGTAATTCTGAAATAGAACTTCATCATTTATATTGTTTGTCAGGATCATTTCTATCACTGCACACCAACATCTGCTGTCTCATGTGCTGTCTCAGTTTATTATTGCAGGATGTAAACGTGTTTACTCTTTACAGTAAATACATACTCAGAGTATTTGTATGTGTGTTTTTGTCTTTTTCACAGAGGCCAGAGGAAGACTATGTGAACTGTGTGGAGGAAAGTTCATTTTAAAGACGTTATTGCCTCTTTTCTTGTATCACTGTAGCATACATTGCTCATTGCTTTTCCATTTTTCCCATTGAAAACCACAATATTAATATTGATATAAATTTGTAATAATAGAAACAGGTTTATTGACTTCCTGTTCAAAACTGCAAAAAAATCTAAATGACATTTCATTGTAACAGTCAGCAGTTGCTCTGTGAGAAGGTGCAGAGAGACAAATGCAGGGTATGTGTGAACAGTGTAGATCCGGAAGTGAATGCAGGTCACTTCTGAGTGTTCAGGCATTTTGTACCTGGCAATTTACTGTATAAATGATGTACATATGATGAATATGTTTGTATGAGCTGTGGACCACATTTGAGATGGATCCATGTTTAATTGTATTGTATCACCTGAGTTTGATCTTCTGTATTCAATAAAGAGAAAAAACATGGCAAATGTGTTTTTTTAAACTAAGATAAAAAGAAATAAATTACTGCAAATTACTGTAAAATAAACAGTAACTTCACCGTGATTTGCATTATAGACAGTAACAGTGTTGGTTAAGTACTGTTTCCCCCTCATGAGGCCTTGGACCATTTGCCAGGATTTCTTTGAGGCCAACTGATAGTCTTCTTCCATGGCCTCCCCGAACTCCTCCCAAGAGAGTTTTTGCCTCTGTCACAGCATGAGCATGAGCTGAGACACTCTTTGACTGTCAGTACCGGTCAGCTGCCTCAGGAGTCCCACAAGCCAACAAGGCTCGATAGGACTCCTTCTTAAGCCTGGCACCCTCCTGTACTTCCACAGTCCATCACTGGGTTTAGGGGTTAGGACCACAGCTATGAGTGACTGCTTCAGCAATAGAGATGATGCTCCCAACCTCAACATAGCTCCGAGGAACATAAATTAGGAACATCATTTAAAATGTCTTCTCAAAAATATAACAGGAAGCAGAAACCAATAATATGTGTGTTTGATAACTTTCAAAGACCAGAACAGACTTTTGCCATCAGTGTAGCCGTTTCAAGCTATTTTCTGTTTCTATCTATGTTATAATGTTGTTTCCTCATCACAAACATACCTGTGGTTGTGTCTTGATTCATTCACACGTTTACCACATTAATCCTATATTTCATATGTTTTTTCTCTCAAACAGACAAAAACACTGTACCACATTTCACACCAGTGGCCTGCTGGAGGTCATTCTGTAGAGCACGAGCAGTGTTCAGCCTCTTCCAACCTGATCCTGCTAAGGGACCCATACCTCCTTGCTGAGGGATGCGCCATCTTGGAAAAGTTGGACAATCTGTGCAACTTCTGAAGGGTTAAAGAATGGCCTCATACTCCCAGTAATTATAATCACTCTAACCAAAGCAGCACTAGTGGAAAACAAGCCAAAAAAGACCATGAGGGAGAAACTTGAAATGACCTCCACATGTGTTAGGTTTATCTAAACATTAAAAACAAGAAGAAAGACAAGAGATTAATTCAGTTTTACTCATGAGGAGAACGGGCAGAGAGTGGGCATCAAAACCAACAGTCTCCACACGTTCTGATGACTCAAGGCCGCTCTCCTCTTTTTATTTCATTAGGAGGCCCTAGTTACAGAATGATAATTCTCAAGGGGAAGGGGAAACCAGCAAAGACATAATAAGAAACTGATGCAGCTAAGCATAGTATAAACACATAAAACATGATTAACAATCAGGAGGTGCCTTAGGTATGGTCAGACTCCATCATAACTCTTGCATGTGTGACAGTGGGAGTTGGCTTCATGTGAGGAATCATCTCGAGGTTCACACAAGAGCGATAGGATAGGACACTGCACACAGTTGTCAAACACAGAGAGGTTATTCAACAAGTGACAAGTGATTGGTACATTATAAATCAAAGAATTGTAGTACATAAATGGTTAACTCATAGGCCTAGAATATCACACAAGTATTTAGCAAATATGGGATAATAAAATTATTCTGACAACATGTAAAAGCAGTCCTGTTTTAGAGGAGTTGTCCCATCGTTGCCAGTACTTTAGCACACCTAAAAGAGAAAGAGGTGGCACCTTTTGTTCCTAAGACATTGACTTGTTCATATTTGTATAGATATCCAACACATTTTTTTTTCACATTGAGATCTGATGTGTTAATGTTTTTGAGTAGTGTTTTTAAACTCAGATTGCTATTATAACTCTCTCTCTCTCTGCACATGCTGTAATCTGCGTACCTAAAAACTGCACACACTGTAGAACAAAGACAAAACTGAACACTCAGGAATCACACAATATGAAGAGACTCTATAGACAGACACAGAGACACTAGAAACACAACATACAAGACTTCTGTAGTGAAAACCTGTGTGAGACTTTGAGGTCCAAATCTGACACAGTTAAGATGCCAACTGAGCTAAAAACATAGATTTTAGAAAAAAAAGAGCTTTTTTGTGAACGTAAATGATTGTGTAATATTGTATGCATATTTAGAGCATTTACCTCAGAAACAGCGTGACACAGGTCCTACATATCTCTAACTCCTCACACTACACGTCTAAAAGTGTGGGACAGTGTCTGGATGATGATTACATCAGTTTATAAATCTGATGACTGTGTATTTAAACCACAGAATGTCCGTTTTTATAAGAGTGTGTTATGTTTTGTTCACAAATGTTCTGGATCATTTTGTGTTTTGTGTGAATGTGTGCAAAATTTATTAAAAGATCTTTATAAAAAATGTGCTAAATGAATAATAATAAAAATAAAAACTGTAGTAAAGGTGCACGAGTAATCTCCCTTTGACGTCATATCTCTCAAAATCAAACCGGACATCTTGATTAGAAAAACAGAAGTTGATTTCAACACTTACTTCACCTTAAAGAGGAAACGCAACCACATTAAAAGTTTGTGATTTTAAAACTGTCAGTGAGAGGAGGAGGTATAAAAATGGAAACGCATGGGTTCCTTGTGTTACTGCTGTGTTCTGGTGAGTTTTGATTTTTAAAAAAATGTTTTAAATGCTATTAAATGGATTGTTCAGATGTCTTCTTTATTGTATGGTATGTTTCAGGGGCTTTAGGATGTAAATATCCTCGGAATTTGAACATCTCTGTACCAAACCTGGAGGCTCTGAGTGGCACCTGTTTGCTGATCCCCTGCACATTCAATTTTCCCATTAAATATAAATTAGACCTGACTAACCCTGTGTTAGCCATTTGGAGTAAGACACACCCCAACTTAGGCAAACGTATAGATTCAGTACTTTTTCACAGAGCTACAACCGGCCTCACATCTCTTATGAAAATTATTGGAGACCTGCATCAGAAAAACTGCACCACTTTGTTCTCTGATATAAACACAATTCATTCTGACCAGTATTACTTCAGAATAGAGAACAACTACTTTATGGGAACAGCAGCTTGTGACCCACTTCGTATAACGGTCCAAGGTAAGATGTATTCTTTTATTTTATGTATTTCATAGATGAATAAGGCATGTATTTATGTAGACAAACTAATTCTTTTATATAGTTTTGTTGTAAGACATTTGTATAAAAAGAGAAGCTTCTGCAAGATTTGTCTAATAAATATTGACCAGTGGATAGGTTTTCATCACATCTGTGGACTGGGGATGGGACAAGATATAGTGCCAGAAGATCTCACAAGAACAACATACCACAAGATTATGTAAATGTGAGATAACTTCCCTCAGAATTTACAAAAAACAAAAGAAAAAAAAAAGTCAAAAAATCTGAAGATGTATTTCCAAAAAGTAATACTACAATGACCACTAAAGTAGGTTATTACATAAAATAAATAATAATAGTGAAGTAGTGAAGAACTGACTTGCACTATGTATTTATTAGAAATGATGTATAAATCTTGTCGTTTTTTCAATTGATTTGACAAACAATTGAAAAATAGATTTTGCAGTATTTGATCAAAATTATTTATGTGGTGAAATTCTTTCCTGTTTGATTTTTGCGTGTGCATGCGTGTGTGTTGGTGGTCCAGTAGAATATTAAGAGTATTAAGTGTAACTATTAAATGTTTGTATTGTTGTGCAGAGTCTCCATGGACCCCGTCAGTTCACGTGTCACAGAGGAAGCAGGAGACAGTGACTATAACCTGCTCTGCTCCCTCTCCCTGTCCTGAAGCTCCTCCTAAACTCACATGGAGCCTCCAACCAGAGCCTCCACACAGCATGCTCCAAAACTCTGATGGGACCTTCACCACCTCAGAACAACACATGGTCCAAAACTCTGATGGGACCTTCTCCACTTCAGTACAACTCCAGATGAGATTATCTGAGCAGCACCAAGGACTGAAGGTGCGCTGTTCTGCTGTGTATCCTGTGAAGGGAGGACAGAAGAGTGCAGACAAGACCATCTCTCTGAGTGTGGAGTGTAAGTGTTCAGCCTCACTGAGTTTTGGAAATGTCTGTGATAATGTCCAGTTTGTACATGATGTTTCGTGTCAACAATTTTAAGACAATTATATATTATATATTATATATAGGGATTAAAAATAAGGAAATTGCACTATGAAAAACAGGCCATATTAGTTATGTAGTTTTGAACAGGAAGCCAAAGGTCCTGTTTCTTTAATAGTTGTTTTAGATCAGTGTTAAGGTTTACACAGAACAAAATGTAAAACAGGAGTTTCCAACCTTTAGAAAAATGAAAATACCAGAAAACTACTAATGTTAACGTTTAAAAGAAATTGAGTAAATATAAGAGACACAGTTGAATGTCTATAAAATATAAACCATTATCCATTTATTTGTGTGCAAAGTCAGACAGCAAACTGATACGTTTGATTAAATAACATTTTAAATATTATTCAGCCAATACTTATACATAAAGCTCCTGGTGAGTTACTTAGAAGAAGGGGGAGAGCTACTGGTAGCTCTAGAGCTACAGCCTGGAGACCCCTGATGTTGAACAATGCTCTGTGTATAAGCTTTGTTATAGTTTATTATAATCAAATCATGTCACTATTAAGAGTGTTTGCCTGTAGTGATACTGAAAATCACTATAATAGTTCCAGCACAAGTCATCCACAAACATCTATCATGTGTGTCTCCTCAGATTCTCCTAAAAACACGTCTGTGTGGCTCAGCACGAACACTTTTCCTCTATCTGTGGGAGGGTCTGTGAATCTGAGCTGCTCCAGCAGAGCCTGGCCTCCAGTCCAGAGCTTCAGCTGGTTCAGGGTCACCTCACAGGGTCCACAAAGAGTTCATGAAGGAAACGTCTACAGCCTCATCTTCAACCATACAACCCAAGGAGAATACTTCTGTCAAGCCAAGAATCAAGTCGGGGAACAAAACTCTCCAACCATCAACCTGCAGAGTGAAGGTACGCCATGTCATTTCAGATTATTTATACTGTTGAAAATCTAATCCACAAGCCTACGCCACACATGCTCCTGGACGACAATTGTCTATAAATATACAAAAGCATGATTCAGAACACAATACACTACAACTTCACAAAATTGATGTGATGTGCAGTAGTTTCATGAGCTTGCTGATTGTGTTGTGATAGTGGTCTGAAGGGGGAGTGACTTAGAACAGGGAGCAAAAAGAGGGGGTACTCAGAGCGTCAAAAACAAAGATGAAACTTACTCAGCATTTTAATATTTTAATTCAGCAAAACAATAAATGGTAACATAGTGATTTAAATAATGTGTTACATAAGACAGTACAATGCACTTAATATAGTATAATATAGTATAATTATGTTGTATTGTGTATTGTATATCCTCTGTAATGATGCTGCTAATTTAGTAAAGTTCGCAAAGTAACTCAAAAAATTCTTAGCGTACCTGTACTCAGAAGTATCAGAAAGCAAATTTATAGTTGGGATAAAAAAAAAAAAAAAAGATTTTCAAGTTACCCTGCTTGAGCAGAGAGACTCAGAAAGTCTGTGTCCAGGGTGAGGAGGCTCAGCTGTGTCAAATGTCTTGCTTTTAAACAACTGCATTTGAACTTTCAGATGTTAACGTCAGGATTGGGCCTTACACCATACTGAAGATATGTGGGATTGTTGTGCTCTTCAGTGCTCTGCTCCTCATTGAGTGGTGAGACTCTTTTCCATCTTTGTTAAAGCATTTCTTCAGGTGACACGTGATAATGATAAAGTTAATATTATTTATGTTACAGTTTGGCAAAGAAAAGAGTGACCCAGAGCCAACAGGTAATTCTGAAATAGAACTTCATCATTTATATTGTTTGTCAGGATCATTTCTATCACTGCACACCAACATCTGCTGTCTCATGTGCTGTCTCAGTTTATTATTGCAGGATGTAAACGTGTTTGCTCTTTACAGTAAATATTTTATTTTTCAGACTATAAGTCGCACTTTTTTTCATGGTTTGGGTGGTCCTGCGACTTATACTCTGGTGTGACTTATATATTCAAATTTTCAGACTGACAGCTGTGACGGGGCGCTCTAGGCTTGTGTGTCAGTATCTAGTACTACTATTACTCCTGTACCACTGTCACTTCACACTCTACTGCGCATGTCTCCTGTAGAAAAAGATGCTGTCTCGCTGCAAATAGTGAAATATTCATCTGAAAAGCAAGTAAGTGAGCAGCAGAAAGAAAGTTTGGAGTGAGCGAAAAACTTGTGAGGGACTGGCAGAAAACAGGGATGGAGAACACAGCTTCACTCCTAACGGGAGGGTGCACCATGTAACTTTCCTGGAAGTCACTGGATGAATCGACAAAGCCTGGACTACAATAACAACTGAAACCATCCTGTCTGGATTCAGAAAGGCCGGAATAATTCTAACTGGAACTGATGCTGAGTCTGACGACAGTGACACAGAAGAGGAAGCGGCGCTCCGTTTACGTCATGGATCTATGGTTTATCTCTGGAGGTCGTGCAGAAGTGACACCGAGGAAGAATTCAATGGATTTAGTGATTTGGAGTGAGATTGTGAGTTTGGTAAACTTATGTTCTGTTGTTTATACTATAATTATCTGAATAACTGTTAATATGTTACGCTAACATATTAACACCTATTCAGTCTGTTGTTCTCTGTACTATTCTTATTACTATAACTTGCCTTTCAAGATGAAATGTCGGTTCCTGGTCTCTGATTTTATAAAATACATTTACCCAAAAAGTGCGACTTATAGTCTTATATATGTTTTCTTTCTTCTTCCTTGCACATTTTTTGGCTGGTGCGATTTATAGTCCGGAGCGACTTATAGTCTGGAAAATATGGTACATACTTAGAGTACCTGTATGTGAGATTTTGTCTTTTTCACAGACGCCAGAGGAAGACTATGTGAACCGTATGGAGGAAAGTTAATTTTAAAAAAGACTTATTTTTGTATCACTATAACATACATTGTTTTTCAATTTTTCCCCATTCTAAATCACAGTATTAATATTATAAGAATAGAAACATATCTACTGACTTCTTGTTCAAAACTGCAGAACTGAGAAGCCCCGCCTCTTCATTGTGGTGTCAGTCAGCACATTTTGTGTCAGTCAGCACATTTTCATTTTACATGTATAACCCAGAGTCTGAAATGTTTAAATGATCCCATGTAAATACAGAGCAGTGGGTCTCTGTCCTTATTAGTAAAGATTCATACGTACATTCCCTTTCCATTACTGTGAAAAAGATCTCATACCATCTCTGAAAATTAAACATGCTGGAAGATGACCTCAGCACTTACTCCCACTTGAAGAGGAAGCTCAACGATTAAAATAATCTTTGTTTTCAAGGAAACATGACATAGCCTTAAGTCTCATCTTTCTGTTTGTCATTTTAAAAAGTGAGAGCTGGATGAAAACGCATAGATTTTTTTTTGTGCTACTGCGGTATTTTAGGATGTTTTTTTTTTTTTTTTACTTGTTTTATTTGCTATTAAACACATGCAACCTTGTTCAAATGTCATCTTTGTTGGTGATATGATGTGCTATACTTATTTCTCCCCAAGAGCTCTTTTACAAATTATCTGTAATATGTATAAGTCAGTGTATGTAAGTCAAAGCATGGGGGTCTGTGTGTGTATTTTTGTGTGTGTGTACGTGTGTGATTGAGTAAAGAACTAAGTGTAACTATTACATGTTTGTGACTATAACCTGCTCTGCTCCCTGTCCTTGTTCTCTACACAGAATGGTCAAAAACTCTGATGGGATCTTCACCACCTCAGAACCGCACATGGTCCAAAACCCTGAGACACAGAATTTCATTATCTGTAAGCCTAAATCATAAAAAAATCAAGAAATAAACTATTAAAATATTTCACTCTATGTGTCATGAGTCTGTACAATATATGGGGCTGATGTTCTGAAATGAGTAACAAAAAATATTAAACTTTTTTGTGACGGAGTAGACCTGTCGATATACATACACACTCACCGATGTTTCACTTCCCTGGCCGTTTACCGCTATCCCCGAGGTTTCCACACATCTCCATTGCAACAGTCATGGGTGCACACTTGATTGCTGCACAAACATTCATTTCTCCATAGCCCTTTTGCACTTTCAAACTTTCCTCCATGTCAGCGTGTGTGTCCGTCGGCCAACGTGAGCTTCATTAGCTTCTGCGTTATTTTACGTAGGGCGCGCACGTTTGACGTCACGAAGAACGTCAGGTGACTTTCCGTTTTTTGTACTTGAATAATATATATTTTTTCTCCTATCTGTGCTTAAAGTTTATTGCTAGGATATTTTTGTTTCTGGTAATGTTCTTGATTTTTTAGTATTAAAAGGAGAGTCTATTTAGCCGTTTTTGTTTGTTCATTGATTTGGGGGAGGAGTCTCATACTATAAAACATGACTCCCATCTGCACAGAGGCAGTGTGAGAGTTGTGTGCAACGCAAGGACCAGCGCAGAAGCTATTCAAAGACTACTACAACCTATAAATATATACATTTTTCCAATTTTTCACTGTTTTTGCGCACTTCTGTAAATAAATTCACAAACACTAATTTTGACTATGCCATATTATTTCCTTTCATTAAAAAGAATCACAACATTTTCATGAAATTCTAATTATTTGTGATGTATTGAAGTATTGAAGTATTGAAAACATGTATACACCCTGCAATAATAAACTGAGACAGCACATGAGACAGCAGATGTTGGTGTGCAGTGATAGAAATGATCCTGACAAACAATATAAATGATGAAGTTCTATTCAGTGTTGGGAAGGTGACTTTTAAAATGTATTCCCTACAGATTACGGATTACATACTGCAAAATGTAGTTTGTAACATAATCCATTAAATTACTTAAAGTGAGTAAAGTAATCTGAATACTTTGGATTACTTGATTTGCTGTAGAGAAGCAAAGACAAGGAAATCTTCACATAAGATGTTTTGTCTGCTAAAAGAAAATAAAAAAAGTCTTTATTAAAAAATATCATTGATGGAAGAGGAGGAGACATGGTCCACGCAGCATGGTTTAGTTACATCCTGTTTTAGTCCTGGTTTAGATCTGGTTTAGTCCTGATTTACATCTAGTTTAGACCTGGTTTAGACCTAGTTTAGACCTGGTTTTAGTCCTGGATTACACCTAGTTTAGACCTGGTTTAGACCTGGTTTGAGACCTGGTTTTAGTCCTGGTTTAGATCTGGTTTAGACCTGGTTTTAGACCTGGTTTTAGTCCTGGTTTAGTCCTGGTTTTAGTCCTGGTTTAGACCTGGTTTAGACCTGGTTTTAGACCTGGTTTAGTCCTGGTTTTAGTCCTGGTTTAGACCTGGTTTAGACCTGGTTTTAGACCTGTTTTAGTCCTGGTTTAGTCCTGGTTTTAGTCCTGGTTTAGACCTGGTTTAGACCTGGTTTTAGTCCTGGTTTTAGTCCTGGTTTTACCTGGTTTAGACCTGGTTTAGACCTGGTTTTAGACCTGTTTTAGTCCTGGTTTAGACCTGGTTTTAGTCCTGGTTTAGTCCTGGTTTAGTCCTGGTTTAGACCTGGTTTTAGTCCTTATTTAGTCCTGTTAAATCCTGTCTTAGACCTGTTTTAGACCTGCTTTGGACCTGGTTTAGTGTCCGGCAATGAGTGGAATTACCAAAAAAAAAAAAAAAAAAAAAAGGAATGTAGCCCAAAATGTGAAAACAGGAAAATACCGCCGCGTAATCATTCATTTATTTCAACAAAGTAACTGTAATCCAATTACTACTCATTTAAACAGTAACTGTAACTGAATACAGTTACTCATAATTTGTACTCTGATTACGTAACTCCGGTACATGTAATCTGTTACTCCTCAACACTGGTTATATTTCAGAATTATCTGTTGGCTCTGGGTCACTCTTTCCTTTGCCAAACTGTAACATAAATAATATTAACTTTATCATTATCACGTGTCACCTGAAGAAATGCTTTAACAAAGATGGAAAAGAGTCTCACCACTCAATGAGGAGCAGAGCACTGAAGAGCACAACAACCCCACATATCTTCAGTATGATGTAAGGCCCAATCCTGACGTTAACATCTGAAAGTTCATTTAAATTTCGACAGTAATTCCAAAACTTGCCGCTCAGTTCATGTTGGTACAACCTTATATCCATTCTCAGCTTTAACTCTAATATCCAAACTACCAAACACTTTTTATAGAACCTAAAACATAACAATCAACTATTAAAACAAATGTAAAAGCAAATGCAGCATTCTGTCTCTGCACGTGCTCTAGTGTGTGCACCTACTGTAAACACTGCACACTCTTAACAAAGTCCAAAGACACAAAGTACAAAACTGAACACACAGGAATCACAATAGGAAGAAATTCTACAGAAAGACACAAAAGCACTAAAAACCCAATGTGCAAGACTTCTGCAGTGAAAACCTGAAAACATCTGAATCACACTTTCATTCAGAGACTTTGAGGTCCAAGTCTGACACAGTTCAGATACCAACTCCTAAAAAGCAGATTTGAAAACTGCTTTTTTGTGACCTAGCCTAAATGATTGTATAATATTTGTACATATATTTACAGTGTTTACCTCACCCCAGTCCAAGTGCTGATTACCAGTTTGAGCAGTGGGAAATATCCCAGACACTTAAATGTTTGTTTTAGTACAGTTCTTTTATCAATGTTCAGTAAATGTCCTCATTTCATCTTTGAGATATGTACTTTTATTCATCTGTTTTATTGTACAAGGACAACAGAATGGATTTTATTGTGTAGTTCTAAAACAAAATGTACAATAATTTCATAATTATAACCATTGTGCTCCCTTTTTTCAATTATTACCAATGTTTTAAAAGTTTTATAAACACAGGGTGAAATTGATCTGTTACATTTACTCAGAAAACTTTGAGAAGGGTTTGTACGTAATTTTCATTTATTAATTGTTTTGCCCCAGTGCAGACATTGTAAAAGCAACTCTAAGGGTCATAATGTGTGTTTTTATCCTCTGTGAACCAGAAAGTATGTGGTTAAAATGCAAGTTATTACTAGCAGTGGCGGCAAAGTTGTGAAACATGCAAACAAACGCATCATAGTGAATAATTACAAAGCTTTGAATGCATTAGAAAAGAAGAACAACTGGACAGCTGCAAAATAACTAATCCGATTTTCCACTTTCTTAAAACAATAAACTCAGTTACTCTTACTTCAGTCACTTCTTGGACCAATACTTGGTACATCTGCTTTATTATTTTGAAATAGTAGTACTGTTAGTTGAAAATACCGCAAAACAAATATATTTTCTTTATTTTGTATATTTTATCTGGGAACAAATTCTATCACTTTTGGAGGCATTCATGAGGGATATGAGCACACCGGGGAGGCATCCACAGGAGATGATCCGGCTAAATAAAGCTATGATCTTTGCTGCCACTGCTTTGTGTAGCAGCGTAGCGTAGGTTCAGACGGCAAACGCACGCCGCATAAGCCCCTGTGTCGCGGTGCGTACACAGAATGATTCTGACAGAAGTGCCTCCAACCCTGCCTGCTATTCCTGTCAATGTAAGGAGGTTTATCCAAGAGCCGTATACGAGGGAATGCATTGTGAAGTTTAATCTGGGTTTAAGCTTTTATCAGCCTTTGTAGGAGACAGGGGTAGTATTAATGAGCCCATTATGAGTGGAGCAGGGTCTATTTGTGCAAGTGATAAGGAGGAACCTAACATGGTTGCAGTCCTTTGATTAGAAGTCTTAAAACACACGTGTAATCGCTGCTTTATAAATGCAGTTTTATTACCACAAAAGTACTTTTTACTATTTGGATCAGGTCTACAGTCCGTCCATGTCAACTAGTAAC